TTTTTTATTTCCATCTTGATTTCTTCATTTATGAAGTAATCATTTAGTAGGAGATTGTTTAATTTCCACGTTTTTGTGTAGAAATGTGAGTTTCTGTTAGGGTTGATTTCTACTTTTATTCCACAGTGATCTGAGAAGATACATGGTACAATTTCTATTTTTTTAAATTTCTTGAGGTTTACTTTGTGTCCTAGGATATGGTTAATCTTAGAGAATGTCCCGTGAGCTGATGAAAAGAAGGTATATTCAGTGGATTTTGGGTAGAATGTCCTGTAAATGTCAGTCAGTCCCAATTGTTCTAGAGTTTTGTTTAAGTCTATTATTTCTTTGTTAATTTTCTGATTGGAGGATCTGTCTTGTGCCGTCAGTGGGGTGTTGAAATATCCAGTGATTATGGTATTGCTATTAATCAATTTGTTTAGATCCAGTAAGGTTTGCTTTATGAATCTGGGTGCACCTAAGTTGGGTGCATATATATTTTAAATTGTTATCTCTTCTTGTTGAAGTGTGCCCTTCACCATTATATAATGACCCTCTTTGTCTTTTACTACTTTTTTTAGTTTAAAAACTAAATCATCTGAAATTAGAACTGCCACGCCAGCCTTCTTTTGGTTTCCACTTACTTGGAATACTGATCTCCACCCTTTTACTTTTAGTCTATATGCATCCTTGCAGGTTAGACGTGGTTCCTGAAGACAGCATGTACTTGGCCTGTATTTTCTTATCCATTCAGCCAGCCTATGTCTCTTGAGTGGAGAGTTGAAGCCATTCACGTTTATTGAGAGAACTGATAGGTAAGGTAGATTACTGTCATTCTGTTGGGTTGGATGTTGTTGCTTTGATTTCTCTCTTGAGCCATAGTAATATCTGGCCTTTAATCTTTGGGTTTTGGTTGTTTTTATATTCTTGAGTTTTTATTATGATGTTCCATGCGTAACACTGTTTTGAGTACTTCTTGTAGGGCTGGTCTTGTCTTGGTGAATTCTCTGAGGCTTTGCTTGTCTGGGAAAGTCTTTATTTCTCCTTCATAGACGAAGCTTGGTTTTACAGGGAATAAGATTCTAGGCTGGGCATTGTTTTGTCTCAGAAGAGTGAGAATGGGGCCCCAGTCTCTCTTTGCTTGTAAAGTCTCATTAGAGAAGTCTGATGTTATTAAAATTGACTTTCCCTTGTAACTTACTTGCTTCTTTCATCTTACAGCTCTTAGAAGGGCCTCTGAAGTTGATATTTTGGTCAGTCTGATTACTGCATTACATGACGTCTTCCTGTTTGCATTGAATCTCCCAGGGGTCCTCTGAGCTTCTTGAACTTGTATATCAAGATTTTGATCAAGGCCTGGGAAATTTTCCTCTATTATATCTTCAAAAAGCTTGTCCAACCCTTGACTGATGTCTTCTTCCCCTTCTGGTAACCCTATGACCCTCATGTTAGGTTTCTTCACATAATCCCACATCTCTAGTAGGCTTTGCTCTTTTCTCTTGTTTCTCTGCTCTATCTCTGTGATGTTTTTATTTAGTTGGAGGGTGTTATCTTCAATCTCTGAGATTCTTTCTTCTGTTTGATCTACCCTGTTCTTGAGACTTTCCACTGTATTTTGTAGTTCCCTGAATTGATTCTTCATTTCCAGGAGTTCGGTTAAACTTTTCTTCATTGTGTCTATTTCTTTAGTGAACTTTTGTTCTACGTCCTGGAGGCTTTTTGTGGTTTCTTTGTGTTGGTTATTGAGTTGTTGCAGGTCGGTGAGTGTTCTTATGATCCACATACGAAATTCCTCTTCTGTCATTTTGGTTGCCAGGTTTTGGTTGTTGTCTGTTTCTAAGGTGCTGGTGCTGCTCTTTGGGGGTGTGTTTTCCGTTTGTTTCTTCATATTTCTGGAGTTCCTTCGCTGATTTCTTCCCATGTCGCTCAGTTGTTGTTTCTTTCCTTTAGGTTTTCGTTTGGGTAAACACAAGTCTTGTTTAGTTTCTGAGCCAGTAGGTGGTGTTGCTCACTGGCAGCGGCTGTGGCTGGGCTGGTGTCTGCAGGTCTCTCTACCCACTGGGGATCCCACCAGCAGTCCAAGATGCAGTGTAGGGGAAACGGCCGATTCACTTACCCTTCCCACTTGTCTCCGGGCTGCTCTGGCGGCCTCCCGTCTTCTGCCTCCTTAATTACACAGGTGGAGATAGATGGCAGGAATGGGAACAGTTCCTATCTCAGCTCCACCCCCAAGGCGGGGCTAGAAACTTTGGAGCCAAAGGCCCAGCCCCAAGTCACCAGAGTGTGTGGGTCGTAAAATCTCTCTGCCTTATATCCACCAAAGTCAGCCTCCTACGGGGCTCAGCCCTGCCCAGGCAAACTCCAGGGCCTGGACACCGAGTGCAGGAGACCTGTGCAGGGAGAGAATGTCCTGAAGCTGGCAGGCCGGTAGCCAGACCCACCTATCCCCATCTTCTGTCTCTTTAATTACACAGGTGGAGATAAGCGGTAGAAATGGGAAAAGTTCCTATCTCAGCTCCGCCCCCAAGGCGAGGACAGAGACTTTGGAGCCAAAGGCTCAGCCATAAGACACCAGAGCGTGGTGGACATAAAGTCTCTCTGCCTTATAACCACCAAGGGCAGCCTCCTACGAGGCTAGGCCCTGCCCCGGCGGGCTCCAGAGCCTGGACACAGAGCGCAGGAGATCTGTGCAGGGAGAGACTGTCCTGAAGCCGGCAGGCAGGTAGCCAGACCCACCCATCCCCATCTTCTCAACAATGGCTTTTACTTAAGGAACACAGCCAGGTGACCTTGCAGGGAGATATCCAGGGGAATAATTACCCTGACCCCCATCTAACCCTCCCTCTAATCTCTTTTGGGGATCTTTCACTGGATTACTTATTGCAATACCATCCTAATTAGTGCCCATGCTTTTCCCACCACTGTATTCCCAACACAGGGACCAAAGTGACCCTCTTAAAATATAAAGCAGATCAGGTCACTCATAATATCCTTTAACAGTTTCCCTCTCAATCAGAGTAACAGTCAAAGTTCTATTTATGACCCACAAAGCCCTTCATGATCTGAACCCCCTCACATTATCACTTCTCTTACTATGTTTGCATCCCATATTCTGCTCCTGCCACTCTGGCCTCAAGGCCTCTGCACTTGATATTTCCATCTATCGGAATGAATTTCCCACAAATATCTGTTTGGCATTTTCTCCAGCCTCCTTCAAGTATGGTCCTCCCTGCCCATCCTACCAAAAATTGCAACAGTCCCCACCACATACTTCCTACCCCCGTTCCCTACTTTAGTGTTCTATTCAACACTTATCAACTAATGTGTGACATATTTTGCTAATTTATATTTATTTGATTGCCTGTATTTCCAACCAGAAAGTAAACTCCTTGAAGATGGGGACTTCTGTCTGATTGATACTATGACTCGTACAAAACAAGAAATCAACAAACATTTGTTGGATTAATGAATGGAAGAATATGATTTAAGAAGTAATAATCTATCTTTTATATCCATTCAAAAATGGCTCATGTATTTTCACCAATTTGCATGTTTTTCTGAATTGTTTACAGTTATTAATGCTAGCCTGGGCTTGCTAATCATAATTTCGAACCCTGTCTATTCCACTAGAATGTTGTCTGCTTTTCCTCCGCACTGTAAATGGGGTTAAATGCACCTGGAGGCAAAAGCCAAGAACATATAGAAGAGGGACATGGACATGGACTATGGAATCACACAGATCTGGATTTACATCTCAGATACTCCCTTGATAGTGTAGGTTTTTCCACCTCTTTGTGCCTCCATTGGTGTAAAGACAGTGTGAAATAGTTGAAACAGCACATTGGCTTAGGAATCTGAGAGTCTTGGATGACAATCTAGTTGTGATTTGGAGCAAGTTATTTAATAATATACCATTCAGTCTCAAATTCTTCACCTATAAGATGAGGATAATGTCTCCTTTTCAGGGCTCTTGTAAAAATGTAAAACAAAGCACCCAACATAGAAGGTAGTCAGTAAATGTTAATTTCTAACATTGAGTAGCCATGAATTTTCTGCCCAAAATACCTCTGTTCATTGGTAAGAAGACGCTCACTCTAGAAGTATTCTTTCCCATGGCTGCTACCCTCCTAAAGCATCTAGGGCAATTGTGTTTCAATATTACTAATAATCCCTATCACTAGGCACTAAAACCAGAAGCATATTCCTATTAGAAGATTTTACTCACAAATATACATTCTAAGGGAATGGAAGGTGATAGCAATGACTGCCAACTTACAACATTCTTTTTGCATCCACTTTGTTTTCTGTTACAGGTGGAATCCATTTTCATGAATACCATTTTAAACATCTGTTTCTACACAGTGAGGCTATTTTTGTGTTTTAACAGATGAGCCACAGGAACTGTGCTTTGTTGACTTAGCTAAAACAAATTCTAAAAAATGAAAATTCTTTCTTCACAAGTACTGTCCCTACAGAAATAAGTTTTTAAATAAAAGGCAATTGTCATTTGTAAGTGAGATACCTTGGCCTAGGCTGGTTCCAAGAAAACAGACCAAGGGCTGGGAGGGTAGATAGATGGCAAAGTAGGCTGGAAAGCAAGATAAAATAAAAAATAAAAATCGAGCAAAACCCTTAAGTGAGATCTGTTACAACACTTACACCACAACTCGACTTTTAAACATAACCTCTTCTTCCAGGGCTATTTTACATGTTGCCTGCTCTACAAAGCTTTTCCAATTTCCTCTGAACATATAAGTCAGTTCTCTCTCCCATACTCCCACTTGTTCTGAATCTGGGTAGTAGCATTTAACAGTCTTGTGTCTTGTTTCTTTATAGATAATTATTTTATGTTCTGTCCTCACCAAAATTGTGAGCTCAAAGCACTAGGACAGAAAACGATTCAACTTTCCCTATGCTCAGTATTTAGCACAGAGCTTAATACATAACAGGTGTTTAATAAATGCTCATTAAATTTAACATATAAGAAGAAGTATCGATATGATTGAATTGGGTATGTTTACCTTAACTGGGTGCTTCCTGAGAGCAAGAACTATGTTTCAATTCCTTAGGATTTGGACAAAGATGCTCAGTGCAGCCTGTTGGTTGAAAATTTTATTGAAATTAATATGCCAAAAATTGATAAAACCAAAGTCAAAATGTTTGACCTTTAATTTCTTTCAGGACTTGGATGCACATATAAAGTTACTACATGCTTGGAAGGCTGAAGTGGGCGCATCACTCAAGGTCAAGAGTTCGAAATCAGCCTGGGCAAGAGACCCCGGTCTCTACTAAAAATTGAAAGAAATCAATTGGCCTAATAAAAATATATAGTAAAAATTAGCCGGGCATGGTGGCGCATGCCTGTAGTCCCAGCTACTCGGGAGGTTGAGGCAGAAGGATCACTTGAGCCCAGGAGTTTGAGGTTGCTGTGAGCTAGGCTGACGCCAGGGCCTTCTAGCCCAGGTAACGGAGTGAGACTCTCTCAAAAACAAAAAAACCCCACAAACAAAGAATTACTACATGGTGCTGAATTAAATGCTATTAGTAAGTGACTAAAATACACTGTGTGCCTTTAAAAGGCCCGGCCTAAGGTTCTTCACTCCAGCCACAGGCTAAAAGGAGTGGCAAAGGTGAAGATCCCCAGGACAGGGACTCAGAGGGTTTGGCACACCACTGGGTTTGGTGAGCTGCAGAAACAGGTTACCTCAAAAGAACCTGAGCCGGAAGCGGGACTGTGAAACTTGCCTTGAAGGAGCCTGCTGGCAGTGCAGCGGGAGGCTTGGGCCCCTTACCTCAGGATACATCAAACGAGGGGCTGGTGCCAACTTGAGTCAATCATTTCAAAACAGCTATGGCTGTCTGCCGCCCCCAAGACCTCGCTTCAAGCTGCCTTTTGGGCCCATGCTCACTGTTTAGGGACTCGAGCTTCCAGCCCTGGAGGCTGCCGGTTTCCGCGCAGGGTTCTGGCTTCAGACCAGTCGCGGAGGCACAACAGCACTGTCGCGAAATCGCCGAGCTCGCGCCTCACCTCTAGGCCAGTCGGTTGGCCTGGTTGATCTTCCACTCCTCACTCGCCCAGGGCACGTCCTCTCTCCTTTCTGCAGCCCCAGCAAGTGTCAAACGTGCTGGGGGGGAAAAAAGTCTTCGCTCCTTTTGCTCGTAGGGACGTTGGCGGCCTCCATGGAGACTGTTCGCAGGTCTGAGTTAGACACATGGCATCCATTTTCGCTCGAGTTTTCCCGTGCTGCCTTTCTTTGGCATCCACTGGGCTTTGGGGTTAATGGCTTCCCTCTCTGATCTGGAGTTGAGAGATTCACTCACCATCATTATAGTAATGGAGTATTCTGAATTTGACGATGAATATACCTCTACCGGTATATTTATACTTCCATATGTTTTTTTCTTTTTGTTTGTTTGTTTTAATAGGGATATTTTCTTTTTTTTATTTTAGCGTATTATGGGGGTACAAGTGTTAAGGTTATGTATATTGCCCATGCCCACCCATATGTTTTCATGATAGTAATTATTGTCCTTTCATTTCTGGTTGAAGAACTCTTTTAAGCATCTTGTAAAGCAAGTCTAGCGATGATGAATTCCCTCAGCTTTTGCTTGTCTAGGAAGATTTCTCCTTCATTTCTAAAGGGCAGATTTTCTGGGCATAGTATTCTTGGCGGCCAGGTGTTTTTTTTCTTTCTTTCAGTACTTTAAATATATCCTCCCATACTCTCCTGGCAAGATTTCTACTGAGATGTCTGCTGGTATTCTAATGGGGATGCCTTTGGGTGTCACTTTTTCTGCTTTTAAAATTGTCTCTTCTTCTGCTGGCTTTGGGTTTACTAAAAAAAAAAAAAAAAAAAAAAAAATTGTCTCTTCTTATGCCTTTTGAAATTTTTATTAGACTGTTCCTCAGTGAAACCCTCTTTGGGTAAACCTGTTTGAGGACCTTTGACTGTCATGGATTTGGATGTTCATATCTCTCCCAGGACTTGGGAAGTTTTTAGCAATTATGTTGTTAAATATGCTTTTGTGTCTTATTCCTTCTCTTCTCCCTGTGCAACTCCCATAGTATATTTGTTTGCTTAATAGAGTCCCATAGGTTTTTTTCTTCTTTTCTGACTCAGTTATTTCAAAAGACTTGTCTTCAGATTCATAGAATTCTTTGTTCTGCTTGATTTAGTCTGCTGTCAGAGCTCTTAATTGTAATTTTTATTTCATTCATTGAATTCTTCAGCTCCAAGATTTCTGTTTGATTTTTTCAAAATAATATGCATCTCTTTTGAGTTTCTTATTCAGTAAAAAATCAGTTTTATTGAATTATCTATCTGTATTTTTTTGTATCTTGCTGAGTTCCTTAAGATAATTATTTTGAATTTGTTTTCAGGCAATTTGTAAATTTGTTTTTCCTTGGGGTCATGTGTTGGAGAATTATTATAGTCCTTTGGTGGCATCACGTATCCTTTATTTTTCATGTTTCTTATGTCTCTGTGTTGATTTCTGTGCATCTGATGGAACCATCAGTGCTTCCAAACTTTACAAAGGTTTTTTTTCATAGGGAAAGAAAGACATTCACCTGCAGATAGATCTTAGGGTGCCAGTTGGGAAGGATGTGGTGGCTTTGGTTCCAAGTGGATGTGGTGGTATAGCCTCCATGCAGCATCTTCAGCTGCATTCAATGTCAGTGATGACTGTGTGTGCCTCATTGGCCTAAGTGTAGGAGTTTGTTGCAGTGGTAGCAGCAGCATGTACTGTTAGTGTCCTCAGTAGGAAGGGTTTTTGGGATCCTCTTTGTTGTTATTTTTCCCACAATTGGGAGTCTTAACTGAGGGGATCCCTCTCAGTGTCAGGTCTACTATGAACCACAAGCAGCCACAGTGGCACTGGGTTCCAGGGCAGGGGTGCTCAGAACAACTGTAAGCTAGGATCCTGAGCTCAGGATCTTACCAACCTACTGTGGCATCTGGAAAAGATTCACTCCCTGAGTCATGGAAAGATGCTGATTGCCCACAAAGCCAGAGTCTGTGACTCTGAGGCATGTCCTAACTGCTCTGGCCTAGAGAGCTGGGTTGTAACTTTGACTTTGGGCATAGCACTTGCCCGATTCTGGTGAAGAAGGGGTGGTTAAGGCTTTGAGGAGCAGGGAACAGATAAAGTTTGGGAACCAGAGGCTATAGGACACAATGACAACTCACACACCCTGGAGGGATGAGATACTGTGTAGTGTTAATACTGGACTATATGGGATGATAGGACACAGCAGTATCCTAGGCTCTGTGAGTCCAAGTGCAGTAGCAGTAAGGTCCCAGGAATGGCAGAGCACAGCTGTGGCTTGGGCCCTAGGGGACAGGGAGCCATACAGTGATGGCTCCATTCCCTAGGTAGGTGGGGTGCCTCAGCAGCTCAGACTAGGAGACTAGTCCAATTCCAGGGAAGTAGGGTGCTACAATTTTTCAGCCTGGAGAGCAGAGCTTTCCAGCTTAGCCAATAGTTTGTTTCCCTGAGATTTGGGGTGCCACATGGCTTAGCTGTGGGAGGTGCAGCTGCTTGGTTCAATCAAGGCACTCATTATCTTGTGAAGTGGGGTGCTGCTTCAACTCTAGCAGCAGGTGGGTGACTACTCTGGGCACCAGTTCCCCAGGAGGCACTGCATTAGCTGTAGTGTGGGGGAAGCATGGCTACTCTGCATGGCCAATGTATCACCTCCTCAGAAGGTGAGATGCCACTGCTTCAGCTCCTGTGTTGTGAGGCAGAGTGCAGCATCCCCTAGAAGGGGCAGGGCACAGCAGCCTGGACCCATTAGGTAGGGTGTAGCAGCAGCTTAGTTCAGGGTTGGTGTACTACTGAGCAGGGGTGGTACAGGGTCAACAAAACCTCAGGGATGAATGGGTGCAATGGCCACTCACCCCCAGAACAGTACACACTGCAGCAGTGGTTCTGGTTTTACGATGATGTAGCACAGTAGCAGCACAGGCCACAAGGGGCAGGTTGCATCAATCATCGACTCCTCTGATGGCAGCACAGCTATGTGGATACCAAACAGCAGCCTCAGCTGGACTTAGCACCTGTGAGGACTGCAGGAATTACCAGTGGTGAGCACTATAAGTATCCTCAGTGGTAATAGTGGCTGCTGGGTTCCTCTTGCCTACCTTTTCCTTGCAGGGAGAAGCCCCTCCTGATTGTGAGCTGGTCCTTACTGGGGGATAGATGGGGTGGCAGAGGTGAGATATTTCTTTCTCTAATCTATGCAGCCATCCTGGGTTTCTCTGTTCTATAAGGTTTATTCCACTCCTTAATATAGTCCTATTTTCCCCTTCAGTTATTTTCATCAAAATATAGTTGTTTATTCATTGGTCTCTGGCTGTCTTTGTGTGTGGGACAAGTGTAAAGGCTTCTAGTTGGCCATCTTGCTGAGGGCTTTCTCTTAAAATATGAATTAAAGGTTTTTCAGAATTCCACATTACCATTTATTATTAGTGGTATCAGTATTATTTATACTAATAAAACTGCATTTCTTCTAGATATTTACTTAAATCTTACACTAAGCACTATCATGATGTTTTGTGAAGTTGACAACTTAATGAAAATAATGAAACACTACATATTTTATTCCTGTGCCAAAAGCTTTATAAAAGCTATTTCTCAAAAACTTTGCTTCTCTGAAAAACTATGAAATAGTCGGGCACAGTGACTCATGCCTGTAATCTCAGTGACTGGGGAGGCTGAGGTAGGAAGCTCACTTGAGGCCAGGAGTTTGAGACTACCCTCAGAAAAATAGTGAGACCCCATCTCTAAAAACAATTTAAAAATTATCCAGGACCCCTTCTCTAGAAAAGAAAAACAGGCCAGGCATAGTGGCTCACACCTGTAATCCTAGCACTCTGGGAGGCTGAGGTGGGAGAATCACTTGAGCTCAGGTGTTTGAGACCAGCCTGAGCAAAAGCGAGACCCCATCTGTACTAAAAATAGAAAGAAATTAATTGGCCAACTAAAAATATATAGGAAAAAATTAGCCAGGCATGGTGGTGCATGTCTGTTGTCCCAGCTACCTGGGAGGCTGAGGCAGGAGGATCGCTTGAACCCAGGAGTTTGAGGTTGCTGTGAGCTAGGCTGACACCATGGCTCTCTAGCCTGGGAGACAGAGTGAGACTGTCTCAAAAAAAAAGAAAATAGAAAGAAAAACAAGCTATAAAATAAATTAATGCCCACCAGAGGATGCTACAACTGCATGAAGAAAAGCAAACAATGGCCTCCGTGACCTCACATCTTCTTAACTCAAGTCAGGGACACTAATACTTATGTATTTATCTTAGACAGTGATGCACATTTATATTTTGGCCTATGACCTACTCAACTTTTGAAAGAAAGGTTATAACATGAAGAGAACCCAGAAAAATTCAGAGGAAAGTTGAAAGATAAAATTGGAAGACTACCTTAGTGAATGTCAGCAGACTTCTGTTGTTCTCCAGTGATATCATAATATTCAAGATCTACTTTTGCATCCTTAAATGAGATTCCCTGGCACTGTAAAAAAGAGTACATTCAGTGATTGAATTGGTGATAATTATAGGTAGTATGTCTTTTATATTTACAATTCAAAGCTTTCTATATATGATAGTATGAGCTTACATCTTCTCTTAAGGCATCCTTTGCAACTTCCTCTTCGTTGTTACAATAGGTGATTTCTTCAAGACCTGTATCAATCTCTGAGAGCATCTTATTTGCTTTATTATTTGTCCCCTTCTACTAAAATATGAGCTCTGATACTCTTGTTTACCACAGTATTACTAGCTTCTACAGTAGAACATAGAAGGTGCTCACTATATATTTTTGGAATTGATGAGTTCCACTTTCGTTATATAGTGATCCTTTCGTGATATGAAAGGATCATGATATGAACTCTTCACGTTAAATCCCTGCTGTGTGCCAGGCGGCAGGCTAAATTAAGGATAAATTTAATGACTTAACATTATTTTAGTATGTATTATATATGGTAGATATACAGGTAATAAAGTGAGTGATCTATTTTTAGAATTAGGGAAGTTGACATTTATTTTCAATAGATTAATAATAACATTTTTGATGACTCTTTCCAGCTTTTAATATTTTTTTATTTATTAGCTCCTATAATCTTTCCTACAACCCCAAGAACTAGATGTCAAGAGACAT